CACTGATTCCTAAGCAGCTTGACCCGTGCAGCCATATAGTGACCCAAAAAGTAATGAATATTTGCCCAAATGAAACTCATAAAAAAAGTTTTCCACATTTTATTTTTTTAAATCACTAACTGTAAAAGATCAAAGTATGAGTTTTTTAAATTGATTTTCATATAAACACATCGATATTGATTCATTTTAGAAAAATTAAAAAATATGTATAGTATCTTTATTTTGTAAAATATAAAAAACACATACTGTATCTTGACGAAATAAATTATCTTTCCAGTTACAAAATTGCTGGCGAAGCTAATAAATCCGCGAATAAAATGTTAAGTATTATTTTTAAATAATCATAAAAACTAAGCGACGATGTTGTTTCGAACCCGGTTACAAAAGCTGCTAATCTAGCGCTCTAAGCGCCCAATCTACGAAATTTTCTGAACAAAATAAATAAAAGACTGTTGTGTGTGTGTGTATGAAATAAAAGGAAGAGATATTCAATTTCGCATTGCGTTATTTGTTAAAGTTAAAAAATTTTTTCGTGCTTCATTTTTAAGTTAATGTCTTCAAACTTTATATATCGATTACAAACAACGGTCATTTAAAAAATATATATATATAACAAAAATAATGCATAAATATTTCTAGCAAAAAGGGAAAAAAACGAAAAAAGCAATTTTTTTTATTAAACCGTAATTTTTAAATAATTTTTTCAATCTTTGTACAGATTGCAGATAATATTGTTCTACACACGGAAAAAATGTTTCATGAGATTATTTTTATAATTAAAGGAATTATTAAGTATTTAAATAAAATTTTGAGTACTTTTTTGAAAAATCGTAAAAAAAAAGTTTTTGACATTTTATTATTTAAATGACTCATTCTAAAAGAGAAGAGCATGAATTTCATTAGTGTAGAATATCATTTCATTAATGTGAAAGAAAATGCAATCGGAACGATTTAGAAATTATTTACATAAAAACGTTTCGATTTTGACTGATTTTAGGAAAAATCGTTACAATTAGAAAATATAATTATTTTGTAAAATAAATTATACCGTATCGTGGCGAAGTAAGCGATCTTTCCGATTCTGTAATTATTTTTTGTCTGAGTGTCATAAAAAAAATTAGATCGTGTTTTAAAACTGTCCGGGATTTTAAGAAAAAGTTTGGAAAATTGGAACTTCCCTGCCTACCTGGAAAAAATGGCAATAATTATGTGTTTCATGGCTTTTAATTAATAATTTTTTACCTAATTGCACTTTTGGAATATAAATGGTCAAAAAAGAGACAGAGAGAGAGATTCCTTGGATCATTCCCAATCTTTTGGTACTGTCGGCGAGTTTTGCGTCGTGAGGTTCGTGAGAAGATACACCCAGTTTTATAAACTCATACGTTTACCTTCTAATTTAATAGTGTAGATATTAATTAAAGAAATTTTTTCAGGTGGAATCTTGCAGACGGTATAATTCTGTTTAAAAAGTAATATTTTCTATTTCTTACATTTTTTTTAAAATGAGTCAGAATAGATGCGTTTTCATGAAAATGATTTCTAAATCGTTCCGTATGAATTTCTTTTTCGTATTATTTAATCGATTTTCTGCACTAAGAAAGTACAGGAATTAGAATCAGTCATTTAAAAATAAATTGGTTTAAAATTACGGTTTAAAAAATGTGTTTTTCGTTTTTATTATAGTATTAAAGTAAATGTGGCCTGGTGGGAACAAAGGTTGACACCCTTAGCTGGACTGTTCAAAATTAACTGGCAAACGACCTTGCAACAATAATGCGTTGAATGAGAGATTAACAGACTGTAAAACTTCATCCAGAGATAACTAAAAAGTAAAAAGTATATCAAAAGTAAAAAAAAACTTTTTTTTAAAAACAAGCTTTTTTTTAAATGCTCTAAAAAGAATGAAATAAAGTTTTCTTTTAAAATTTTTTTTGCTATCAACTTATAAAGTCGTTGCACAATGTATGATATAAAAACTTGTCGCGGGATTTACCTGTCTAGATAAAGAAGCAAATTAAGTAACTTAATCTGATTGATTTTTTAATTCTCAAAATTTTCAAACTAAATAAATACGAGTACTTAAATCTCGCGACAGGCTTTTATATCATAAATTGTGCAAACACTTTATAAGTTGATAGCAAAAAAAGTTTTAAAATAAAAGCTTATTTCATTCTTTTAAAGCATTTAAATAAAAATTTGTTAAAAAGCTGTTTTTTTTTTATTTTTAATTTATTTTTGACTTTTTAGTTTTCGCTGGACAGAAGTTCACAGTCTGTTAATCTCATTCAACGAATTATTTTTGCAAGGTCATTTGCCAGTTAATTTTGAACAGTCCAGCTAAGGGGTACTCAACCTTTTTCCCACCAGGCCACATTTACTTTAATACTATACTAAAAACGAAAAACACATTTTTTTTTTTAAATCCGTATTTTTAAACCAAATTTTTTCAATTTTTGTGCAGAATTTGGATAATAATATTCTACAAACAAAAAAAAAATATTTCCGTGCGATTATATTGAAAAATCACAAAGTTTTTAAATGTTTTATTAAAAATTTAAGTATATTTTGAAAAATCGTAAAAAAATAGTTTTAGGCATTTTATTTTTTTAAATGGCAGATTCTAATTCCTGTACTTTCTTAGTGCAGAAATTCGATTCAATAATACGAAAAAGAAAATTCGTATGGAACGATTTAGAAATCATTTTCATAAACTCGCATCGATTTTGACTCATTTTAAAAAAAAATTGTAAAAAAATGGAAAATATTATTTTTTAAAAAAAATTATACCGTTTGCAAGATTCCACCCGAAAAAATTACTTTAATTAATATCTACACTATTGAAATTAAAAGGTAAACAAACGTTTGAGACTATAAGACTGGGTGTATTTTCTCACGAATCTCACGACGCAAAACTCGCCGACGGTACCAAAAGATTGGGAATGATCCAAGGAA